TCCTGAATCTATTGCCTACATTTCACAATGAATAGAATCAATTAATGAACTACATTTTTTTTTTTGTCAATTAAAATACAGCTTAAATATAAAATATATAAATATTAAAGAATATATGATAATTTATTTTGCCAACTTTTAGGAGTACATTAACTTTACCCTCATAGCTAACAGACATGGACTTGAAATTACAAAACTCCAATTCTGTTTTCATGTTGTCTAATGTCGGCAGATCCTGTTTGATGTGGTAGAAATGCATTTCGTATTTACATTTGTTTTGTGAGTGTATGGCAGATGGTGGTTTTCTTAATTAGTTTCTTAGTGCCATATAAATGAGAAACAAGCTTCTGTTTTACTAGTGCCAACTGAAATAAAACAGTCTTTTTTTGTAGATCACTGTGGCTTGAACAATAAACACATTCCTGCCAAAATTTGAGAAATCCTCTTTTCAACATGCAAGACGTGGTTATATGAAGATATGACTGCAATTCTGTTTTGGATTTCCACCTTCATTTTGCATCAATCAAATATTAACAGACTCTGAGTGCCCACTGCTCTCCTCCAGACATATAACTGTGCATTTTTCTAGGTGTCTGACCTGAATATGTCTTGGTCTGGAATAAATGCTTGGTGCGTAGGAGAAAATTGTCCTTAGTCTGTTCTGATGTTACAATAGAAAGAAATGATGTTGAGAAATAATGTCAAATGGAGAATGCACTTGGAAACACCGGAAATACTGTTATCTGTGTTAAGGTGGACTGTAATGCATTTAATTCAGCTCTCAAGCAGATCTGCCTTATTTCAATAAGCTGCTCTCTGTGACAAATCCCAACCTGTGTACACCTGAGGCCAGCTCAGCTGAAGATAGAAACAAACCAGTGTCAGACTCAAACACCAGCTTACCTCATACAATGTGCTCTGGAGGACTTTGTGCATTACCGCCCCATCAGTAAGGGCAAGCGGATTCAGTACAGAGGTGCAGTCAGACAGAAAGATTAATCTGTCTAATTGATTTTAATATCGGTCCGTCACATGTTGTGCACACATTATGTTAGCTCTCTAGCCGATTGGGATATATCAGAAAAGTGGTCAGCTTGGTAAAAGGTATCATTCTGTTCTTCACCCTGCTCTCAACATTTTACTTTTGCCGAAGTGTAGAAATAAGCTATACTCCGAAATTGCAAATAAGTTTCACAATTAATTAAAAAGAAACTGCAAATTACACATTGAATTAAACATGTTTTTTTTTTTAAGTATAAGGATGGAATTAGTTTTTTTTAAACATACTCCAGTAATCTTTATTTACGACTTTGAAAGATATTTTTTAGTGTGTAGGTTGGACTGTTAGAGAGACAAACAATACCCTCTTGTTTTTGCTGGCATTGGTGGTGGAAATGTGATTACAGGCAATAGTTTATCTGAAGACATTGGTAGAGGTTTCTGCTGTGGCCTGAGGTCCATTTAAAATCACATTTAGACATCTCATCAAATTCTACTTTGTTTGATCTGAAGTGACTCGCCTTGTTTCCTTGGTTCTAGTTACCCATAATAATTCTCATCTTTTGGAGTCAGAAAGATGTTTGCTGGTGTGTGTGTATATATGCGTGGGTGGGTTTGCGTGTGTCTTGAGATGCAGGTATCCTCACTTTCATTTACAAGGATTGTTTTAGTGTCTTATTTGCTCTAGTTGAGTGAGTTTTGTGTGGGAAGGAGCCAGTTGACAGATGGTCTGAAGTGTTCCCATAGTAACCCCATCTATGACATCATCTGACCCCAGGCTTCAGTTATTACCCTCCTTTGCCCTCTAAATGGGTGCTGTATGTTTATGTAGATTTATGCAGTAGTTTATTCAGTACAGTAACTGATCTTTTTAAAAAGATCTTTCAGTAAAGAGTTCAGAGCTTAAAAACAAAACAATCTCTGAAATGCTTCACAACGTTGCAATATTCATTTTAAAACAAGAAAATGTTTAAAAATCAGATACAAAGTACTAGACTGTACTGACATGAAGCATTGCAAATTATATTATTTAGAAAAAACAACAACATAACACTATACACATTGAAGTTAATTCATTGATTTTAAGTAAAAAATATCAATATTTTTACATTCTATAATATTCAGATAGACTGCCATTCAAAAGTCTGGGTCAATACGAGTTTTTTGATGTTTTTGAAAGTTGTTGAAAGTCTCTTTCAATTAAATACAGTAAATTACTGTAAATAAATGATTACAATTTATATACAATTTATTACAATGTTTTAATATATTTTAAAATGTAAAATATTCCTGTTATGATGACAGCAACATTTTCAGCATTATTATTTCAGTCTTCACTGTGTCACATGATCCTTCAGAAATCATTCATTTTCTGATCTGGTGCTCAAGAAACACTTCTTATGATCAATGTTGAAAACAGTTCTGCTTAATATTTTCGGGGAAACCATACTTCATGATGAATGGTATTTCACTTCTGAACAAGGAAGATCTGGTGATAGAATCTGCTTGTGTTTTGACTGTTGAAAACATGAAATATAATGGCGTCACTAGTGGTGTTATTATTGGGTAAAGAGGCTTTGGCAGGGTGTGTTTTGGCTGACCTGATTTGGCAGAATGAAGAGGATTATAAAGCATGGCAGTCTCTCTCTCTGTCCATTCATTTGTGTCGTGTGACTGCTAGTATAATCTCTCGTCACAGAATGTGGGTCAGTGTGTGAATAAAGGTTGCTCTATTCACCCCCTTTTCATCCCTTGTTTTAAAACACACTTCCCATTATGTCATAAACTCGTAAACCAAAAACTTGATCCACAGATACTCAAAACTGGTGCTCTAATATGGACCAAAATATGTTGTTGTTGTGTATGGATTACTGTTTATCTATATACTTAATACCTTATCTTTTATCTTTGTACTTTTGTGAAAGAATGAACGAGGCTGATTTTTGTGAATAAAACTGGATTAGAACAAAATTAAGTTAGACATTATAGACTAGAGGCACTATTCATTTGGCTATAGGATTTGGCTTTTAGCCCGCAACCTCTCTCTCTCACACTCTTGAATTTAGCCAAAGTCCTATATAAATAGTCTCTGATTTAGCCTACTTGTTTTGGTTTCCTTTGAGCCTTTGACATAATTCACTGAAAAAGAAATCAGTATGGAAGAGAGCGAAATGAAAACTCTGCTCCTTTTTTCCTCTGAAACTCTCAGCTGCCTCTCCTGGACTTGCAACCTTAAAGTACACTTTTACAGTTCAATTTTTAATAAATAAGTTTTTTAACTAGTCATTAAAGTGTATTTCACAGCATATTTATTTAAAAAAAAAAAGACAACATTTAGATGATGCACAATTTTCTTGAGTAGATAATTTTTTTAGGTTGTCTTTGATTTGAATTTATTTAAACTATACATTATTGTTGCAGTTCTTAAAGTCAGCAGCCAACTGCGAGTAACAATATGACACTTAATAAGGGTTTATTTTGTTCCCTGCAGAGCAGACTTATTCATTTGTTAATTATGAACTTCAATCTCCAAACATGCTTTAATACATCCTTTATGTGAGTTTTAGTTCTGCTCATCCCTTTAAACAGATCCTGTATCCTCACCCTGATTTAGCTTGCTGTCACGTGCTGTGAAACTTTCCAACCAGATCACCACAAAAACTGTAGACGAGGGTTATTCCATTCAAAAATAAAAAAAACCTGCCACCTTTTTTTATACTAAGTAAGTGTTGTAAAACAGGAAGTGTTTTTTTAAAGTACATTTGAAAGCTGTTTTATGCGTGTTTGCCTATTATACAGGAAATACCGGTATGTGACCCTAGACCACAAAACCAGTCACATGGGTCAATTTTTTTAAATTAAGATTTATAAAGCTGAATAAATAAGCTTTCCATTGATGTATGGTTTGTTAGGATAGGACGTTATTTGGCTGAGATACAACTATTTGAAAATCTGGAATCTGAGGGGGCAAAAAAAATCGAAACTTTGAGAAAATCGCCTTTAAAGTTGTCCATTTATGTTCGCGATTGTGTTGCATTCACTCACAGAAATAAATGTTTTATACATTTACGGTAGGAAATGTACAAAATATCTTCATGTAACATGATCTTTACTTAATATCCTAATAATATCCCCGATAATTTTGACCCATACAATGTATTGTTGGCTATTGCCACAAATATACCCGTGCGACTTGTGACTGGTTTTGTGATCCAGGGCCACATACAGTATAACACTGTAAGACAATAATTCGGAAGAAAAACAGAAAACTTACTGGTATTTCTTTTGCCAGGACATTATCCGTTAAGTTTACAGACATTTCCTTTAACCCTAAAACAGAAGCCCAAATGCAATATGTAATTCAAAATTAGGGTAAGGAAGGGAAGGAAAATTCCTTTATTTAAACATTGGGCCCTATTTTGACAGACTTTTCTTTGAGTGAATTACTAAGCTACTATGATGCTCGACTAGAAAAAAAATCATGGACAAAGCTGGACGTCAACATAAATACCGGTATGATAATTTACGAGATATGAGCAACTGATTTCTTCTGTTGGTATACTACATTATTTTTGTCTGTTCTGTTCTCTACAAATAAAATGCTTTCAATCCAGTTCTATGTATTGTCACATTTACTCATTATCATTCATGTTTGTGATTTTTATCAAAAAAATTGTTTTGTCTCTCAAGCAGAAAAACTTTGATTGTTATAATGGAAGTTGATGCATAATGTGTTTCTGTATCTTTCTAAATCTTAGGTATAATTCTTCTTATAGATTTGTTAAACACATTTTCCCCTTTGACCAGTTCATTTTAAATTATCCTGTGGTGTCACAAATGTTACAAAAATCTTGATGCATAATACTTATTGAAATAAATATCAAATGCTGCTTGAAATAAGATTTAAGTATTGTATAGCATGTCACACCACAGGACAAACGGATTTATTAATTTGTGTTAATGGATTTTTTCTTTTCTTTGTCCCTCTCTTTTCTCTTTAGGTGTTCCTTTCATGTTTATCCATGACTCTGCTGTTTGCTGATGGAACAGAAGGTCCTCAGTAAGTCCTCAATGGTTTCCAGACTGCCAAAATTTGGTGCGCGTCCTGTCAATGGTACCCCCTCACCCCTTCCCAATGGTACAACCCAGACTGCGCTCACCCAAGAGAGCAAAAATCCCCCGGCTAGGCCAAAAGGAGTGGTCAGAGCCTCCTCCTTTTCCATGAAATGGAGGAAGTACAGTGATGGGTCAGTGGACCCTTCAAGCCCAGTCACGGGCAGTATACCAGAAGAAAAAAAAGAAGTTCGCTCCCTGCATTCACCAGGAAGTAGGGAGTTAAAAAGCCCTTCTACTCCTGCAACCAAAGTGCGCAGGTCTGCCTCCTCATTGTCCACCGGAAGCCCCAAACCTGTAGCCAAATCCCCTAAATCCATCCCGAGCCCTAAACCAACGCCCAAAAACACTCAGATCACCTCCAAAAGTCAGGAAATATCCCAAAAAAACTCAAGCTCCAAGCTGACTCAAAATGGGACATCATCTCTGGGGTCTTCACCAGGCCAAGCAGCCTCTTCGGGGCTCCAGCGACCAAGGGCGAACTCTAGCTCTACTCGAAGCACCTCTAGAGACAGCTTGTCCCAGTCCAACGACAGCCTCTCACGCCAGCCTGCCGTGCCTGACTACATGGTGCGTTCTCAGAGCTTCACCCACTTCAAGCAACTGCCCTCACCAACATCCGCACCCATGACTCGATCCTTTTCTTTCAACAGGGCTGTGGAGCTAGCCAAACCGCTAGCTAATACCCAGCTGCGTCCTCCGCGAACACTTGGACTTAAATCTTCCCTGAGCCTCAGCAAGGGCCGGCTAGTGCTCGGTTTAGGGGGCCTGGGTTTTGGAAAGGGGTTAACAGATAGACTATCTACTGGGACTCCTTCTTTAGAGAGCTTAACGCCTTCTAATTCCATAAAAAGGCCACTTCTGCCTAACTCTGCACTGACAAAGCACTCGTTACAGGCCTACAGGCTAAATCGACCAATTGCTGCCAAACCGCAGTGCCCTCTAGTGGTTGGGAGGTACCCTGTGGAGAGTGACGTTATAACCCTGCCTCTCACTCCAGAGCTGCTCCATTGTGCCAAAAAGAGTGTGAGTGTCTGACTCTATCATTTTTATTAACATGCATAATTTCTTGCATCTTGATATATTATTTTGGATGGTTCAAGAAATAGTTCCCTTATGACTTTTTCTACTGTGGAACGTCAGAGTTCATGAGAGAATTACCAATGTCAGATTGAAATTGTGAACAAATCAATCTTTTCTAATCTTTTAGTCTTTCTTTAACCCGTATTTTTTTATAGAGATTCACATTTTTTTTTTATGTGTTATCAGTTCTTTAATTTTGGGACCAACTGTGCATAAAAATAATAGCAATATTAGCTATATAATAAAATATATAATTAGCAATATAGTACAACAATATTAACAAATTAATAATAATAATTATTATAATCTTTATTATGTGCATGGTTTTTATTATCTAATGATTTATTAGTTATTATTGTGTCTCAAATGATTATGCCAAATATGAAACGTATAGTTTTGTATTCAGTTAATGTTTCTTTTCCAATTTTAAAAATATTTACATAGCTATTAGTAGCTCTACTGGAGCTAACACAGAGAAATCAAACATTGAAACAAGACTGAATTTTCCCATTTTGTGGCTGTGAAAAGGCATCAGCTTCTACAGTTTCCTCAGAGGAGCATGTGACAGAGCCGGGGTTGGATGGGAACCTCCGCTACTCTGGGGATGGAACGGAGGACATGTCTCTCTCCTCTGCATCTTCTCTTGAGAGGAATGACACCAGTGAGGAGTTCCTAGATGACTTTGACAACACAGGGGACCAATCGCAGAATGGAATCCTGCATAACAAAATTCCTTTAGCCACACCCACCCAGACACGCCTGCAGAGCTTCTTAAATGAGACCATGGACTGGACTGGGATTGGGCTGGAAGGTACAGTATAGCTACGTGTTGTGCCTGCCTTTCTTGCATTTATGTGTCAAACAGTACGGAGCTGATAATATTGTCCTATTTGTGGCAAGCATGCACTGTTTATGCTGTTATATCATGTCTGCTCTCAGGTGGAAAGGCAGATTTAAGGGCTGGTGTGCTCCGTGGGCGGCCGCCGCCGCTCATGTCCCCTGATGTGGATCGTCATGCGGCCTCCTCTCTGGAGCTCTCCCCCTCTAACAGCTCTGGAGGAACATACATGTGGGATGAGGAGGGCATGGAGCCACTGGGACACAACACGCATATACACCGTTGCAGCAGTTATGAGTCAGACCTCAACAGCATAGTGAGTACACAGTTATCCTCCAAAAATTAGTTGGCGGTCCCCTTAGAGTGTATTTTAAAATCTCAAAGATTTATTTGTCAAATATACAACAACATGTGTATTACTGATATAAAAATAAACAATATAAAGTATTAGTATATAAAGACTAAGTAGCGAATTAAGAATAAGTACTCCTAACAAGTAGTAACAGTTGTTAAAGGGATACTCCACCAGTTTTTCTTATTAAACTATGTTATTCCCTTAACTAAGACGAGTTGATACATACCTCTCTCGTCTCAGTGCGTGCACTATATCGCTCTGTTTTGCCGCAAAACTATGTTAGCACTTAGCTTAGCCCATGCATTAAATATGGGCCAAGCAGAGAAGCGACCAAACACTTCCACGTTTTCCCTATGTAAACACAGTTACTCGAGTAGTGTAACTTGACCTGGGCTGGTGACACAAAATAAACCGTTGCGCTTTTCTAAGCGTTTAAAATTGATGACTATATTGGATGGCGGAATACCATAACAAGTGCTTTTGAGCAGTTCGACTTGGCGCAATAATATCTTCACTAGTGAAAAGTCCTCTTACCGGCTCCTGCTTCCTCTCCCCCTCCCTCTGACATTTCCGTCAATACAACCAACGTGGCTTTTACTACCTGTGCTATTAGCAAACTGCAGATCATTTGCAATGGCGGACTTTGTAGATGATTATGACTTCTTTGTAGAAGACCCAGAGCCATATCTGTTTGAACCCGAGTACACGGAGGAGGAATTAGCTCTTATGGACCGTGAGAGGAAAGAAAGATATGATCCAGAACAGACCGGAGCTGGCGAAAGACCACGGGCAAACAGCAATTGGTGGTGCAAGTGTGACTGTTGCGAACAGATGCCGACCGAAATTGAGAGCCTGTGCTGTTTAGAATGCTAACTAGCTTCCAACAACCTGTTACTTCGTCAACTCCGCTCGAACTACTACTACCGGCGCATGTCACGTTGGTTGTATTGACGGAAATGTCAGAGGGAGGGGGAGAGGAAGCGGGAGCCGGTAAGAGGACTTTTCACTAGTGAAGATATTATTGCGCCAAGTCGAACTGCTCAAAAGCACTTGTTATGGTATTCCGCCATACAATATAGTCATCAATTTTAAACGCTTAGAAAAGCGCAACGGTTTATTTTGTGTCACCAGCCCAGGTCAAGTTACACTACTCGAGTAACTGTGTTTACATAGGGAAAACGTGGAAGTGTTTGGTCGCTTCTCTGCTTGGCCCATATTTAATGCATGGGCTAAGCTAAGTGCTAACATAGTTTTGCGGCAATACAGAGCGATATAGTGCACGCACTGAGACGAGAGAGGTATGTATCAACTCGTCTTAGTTAAGGGAATAACATAGTTTAATAAGAAAAACTGGTGGAGTATCCCTTTAATAATAAAATAAAAAATTGTGTTGTTGCTGATAACATCAATAATAATGCTGCTGATAATAATAATAATAATTTGTAATAAACTTTTTTGATGTTTCTGATAATACATTTATTTTTTGTTGCTTATAATAAAATAATAATAAATAATTAATTGTTGCTGATCATTTTTGTTGTTTCTTATAATTGTATTATTATTATTATTATATTAAAAATAATATTTGTAGTACCGTGTTGTTGGGCTTTTATTTGTTAGTTTTTTACATAGATCGCCCTTTTTTGGGATTTGGACCTACAACTTTTGCTTTACCAGCCCATATATTTAACCACACCCATTCTCACGACTGTATAAAAACCTTTTTCTGAGATTGTGGCTTCTGCAAGTCCCACAGAATGCTGTTCAATTCTTTGTGGGTGTTCGTAATCTTTCCTCTGCTGTGTGTGTATCGTTCCTGTACTGCTTATTGCTGGTTTCTATATGTGTGCTTGTGCGTGTGACAGGATCTCTCCATCCCTTTCCTGCTAATTATTTCCTTGCTAATAAGGGATTAGCCCCTGTGGCTCTTACTCGTGACTCTGCAGGAGTGTGACTCCGAGTCCCGCCGTTCTGAACAGAGGTCCTGTTCTGTCTCGGCTGTTTTTCAAAGCCCCTGATCGAGTGGGAATGCGGAACGGTGCCGCTTAACATTCCAGCTTTTGAACCCAGTGAAGCAGGCTGTGACATTGTCCTTTAATTTTATTTTTTGTTTGTTTGTTCTGATTCACAATGTCAGATTGGCTCTGCTGAATACAAAACGAGTTAGGCTGGATTTGAAACAGTAATTAATCAGATGTAAAATACCAGCGTTCTCTTGTAGTATATACACAAATGCACCCCCACACACAGACATGCTGACTTGACTGTGACTTCAGATATTTTGTAATAGCAGCAAGTATACATTAGAGTACGGCTAAGTCATTGTTCTTCATACTTGCGTTGGTTGTTCCTCTGATGCCGTTGTATAGAGAGGAGCAGGCGTTCAGTTTACGTAATTGACTGCGCTTTAGGTTGAGCTGGGCTTTGAGTGACATCTAGTGGTCTACTGTAGGTACTAAATAAATTCCAACATTTCGCCTGTGGGGTGGTTCCTAAATCATAGTTATCGCTCATACTTTGGGTTAGGGATTTTATCAAACCCCTTCTGAAGTATTCAAGTTCAATGCTTTTCCTGGATCTTTATGGAAGTGTCTTTGCTAAAGCCAGTTTTATCCTGTTACATGTAATCAGTGGCTTGCCTCACATGCACAGTAATCGAATGATTAACTCTCCCTCCTGACGGCAGTTGATCTCCTCTAGATCCCTGCGTTGTCTATCTTTAGTTTAAGACTCCTGTGCTCTCACGGATAATGAAATAGAGGTTTGGCTTTATTTAGATATCATCTGATCTTGCACTTAGCGAGTGATGTAACAAGTTATCTTTAGTTTATTAAATACTACTACCGGTACTTCAAAGTTGTGCTGTCCGCTTTATTACAGCCACACAGAACTGTTACATTTACTGATATAAAAATAAATTATATAAAGAACAAGTAGTATATAAAGAATAAAGAAGTACTAATAACAAGTAGTAGTAACAGTTGTTAATAATAATAATAATAATAATAATAATAATAATATTTTTGTTGTTGCTGATAACTATAATGATGATGATAATAATAATTTATAATAAACATTTTTGTTGTTTCTTTTAATACATTTTTGCTTATAATAATAATAATAATAATAATACAATTTTAATTGTTGCTGATTATTATTTTTTTGTTTCTGATATTATTATTATTGTTGTTGTATTAAAATAATATTTGTAGTACTGTGTTTTTGGGCCTTTTTTATTAGTCTCTTACATGGAACTTTTCATAATTATTGCACAAATATTATTTAGTACCAAAAAAACAACAACATATTAATAAGTAAGTATTATTGATCTAAAATATAGTACATTTATTTAATTAATAAAAATGTACACTTAAGATGTTCGGCCATCATTACCTATACACGCTGTCTGTTAACGGGTGAAGATCCTCCATTATGCCCCTGATGCCAGAATCCATTATCACTGAAGCATATTTTGGACCGTGATAGATTAAACTCTTAGAATTCTTTATTTTCTGTTGACTACTATGTAAAGATTTTTAATGAAGTAAGCCCAGATCTAGTTACTGTAATAGACTACTGTAATAGTCGTCAGCATAGTAATCAATGCTCATCATTATGCGTTAATATTTACCAGAAAGTGCTGCAAATATAGTAAAAAAAAAAACGATTGAAACCGATTGACAGCGCGAGTTGTTTGGAACTAATGAGAGCTCCATGAACCACGTGTCTGCATGGTTCATGGACCGCGTGAAGTATATTGCAACTGTTTTTCAACGGCTCTGGCTCAAACGTGCTGGGTGACACATGATAATTAACCTTATTAATTCTTGCACGTCAAGCAAGCATACTTTCGTTTCCATAACTGATGTGTGCATTTAGTTGTACGATCTCTTAATTAACTTTTTGAAGCATCAAAGTGGTAGTTGCATAGCTGTCAATGGAGGGAAAGAAATCTCTCAAATTTCATTATAAATATCTTCATTTGTGTTCAGAGGATGAATGGGAAGTCTTAGGACTTTCTGGGACGGGTTTGGAATGACTTGAAGGTTATAATGACAGAGTAAATGAAACATTTTGGGGGGAACTACACTTTTTAAGTGAACTAACCCTTTAAAACATGTACTTTACTTAAGACCACAAGGGGGCAGTATGGATTCAAGAGACAAAAGAAATGTTTTCAACATCTCCCTGTCTCTCTTTCCTTATATTTTGCACTTGTGTGTTTGTGTGTTTAATCCCTCAGTTGACTTCTGCAGTTCCCCGTTAGGCTCATTTAAGAGTTGTTTATTTGTTCTAAATATAGTCTGTCTTGCAGGAGGCATTTACAGGCCAATTCATTAGCTGCTAAATGATCTAGGTGCATAAGCCTTTGTTTTCAACACAGTAAGTGACTCTGAGATGTGCTTTTATCTGCGGCTGTTTCAGTATTAATTAGCTGAGAGGTATAGAGCATTGTTTACACTTTATCATTTGCTGACATTACTAAGACTGTAAACAGGATTTGTTTAATTTTTTATAAATATTTAACCTCTCTAATCGGCTCTGAATTTATTAAGCTAACTGGTTTATTGACTTTCTTATTTTGCTTAATCTCTTTGAGACCTGCAATTCCTAATGGCTTTTTGAGAGCCTTTTCACACATGTACACAACCACCAAAGGCGGCCTTTGCAACCCCCCTGACAAATATAAAAATATTGTATGCAATGCGACGGCAATTACTTTATTGTCTGTGATATTTAACAATGTTAAAGGATTAGTTCACTTCAATATTAAAATTCTGTCATAATTTACTCACCCTCAAGTTGTTTCAAACCTGTATGCATTTTTCTTGTGCTTAACACAAAAGATATTTTGAAGAATGTTGGTAATAGAGATGTAACGGTATGAAAATTTCATATCACGATTAGTGACCAAAATTATCATGATTATCAATATTATCACGTTTTTTACCCTCTGGGGT